AGCATACGGGCGACCACCTGGACATCGCCGCCGTGGAGAGCGACCACATGGGCCACTACGTCTGCACCGTCGACAACGGCGTAGGCTCACCTGTGGAGAAGCATATTCATCTCGAGGTCAACTGTGAGTCTTGGGCCGGCGGAAGGCGTTGCCACAGTGGGAACCACGTCGGTCAGTGGATGCCGTAGCTCGAAAGGCATCACGCGAGTAGATTTGCGTGTCCGCCAATGAGGCGCGCCGACCATTTCCCCATGCTGGTAGACTCATTTGGGGCAAGACAAACCTGAGGTGCGGCTCCTTTCCATTACTATAATTAGGCGGTCATGAAATGCGTGACGTCGACGACATGTCGTGGGTCGGCGACGTGTCGTGGGTCGTGCCCCGGCATTTGGTCCAGCCCAGGCGGACCTGCAGTATGGGAGTGTCCCGCGCCTCGAGCGGGGCCCGCCCGGCCGCCGGTCGAGCCTCGAGACCGCGCACTCCACGCCCCAGCCCATTCCGTCAGCGTCGCCCCCGTTACGCATATACAGCAGCCGCCAAAGCAAACAGTACGCAACTGAATTCCTGTGTGTGCCGTTTGGAGGGCGGCCGGCGTCGGCGGGCCGGGCCTGGCTGGGCTCTGCAGGGTCATGACTCATGCGTGTGCCGCCGCCGGCCGGGCAGGGCGTCTGTGCACTGTCGCCTGCCGACAGCAGGGTGGCAGACAGCGCACCGCGCCGTGGGCTGGAACGCGGTCCTGTACGCGCGGCGTCATGGACGCGCGGGGCTCTGTTACTCTTGCCGTCTTGTCGCTTTTGTTACGGGCGTCAGTGGAGCGAGGGAGGACAGCGGAGATGCTGAGTGCCACCTTCCTCAACGTGTCCGTCGGCTCCCTACTGTAACTTGTGGTGGGAAAGCCAGATGAAATGAGACTAAAAGTATGGTATTGTGGATGGAACTGGATGGCTGAAATGTTCTTATAGCACACCTTTCCCGTTCGGCTTCACAATTATGCACAAGGACAGCTTCACCGTGCGCAACAGGGATGGACCAGTCCCCCGCCTACTTAACGGAGAACCCCAAAATTAATCGAACGCCTGCACGCGTTCTGGTGAAGCGAAGAAAAGTGCAACGCCTTACCTAAGCGCTAAATGTACTTGACAACCAGCATGGACACAGAGCTTAACCACATTGGGCAGCCGATGTCCATTTTTGTATTTTTTCTTCAGTCACCACCCACAGTGCTAACGGTAACTCTTCAGAAACTCAGTCCCCTCCCCCTGGCTCCCCGGTTTGTTCGAAGCGTTTGTTCCGACATTTGTGCCACCGGGGGCTGTGGCAAGCGTGTCCTCTTGCCCCTGAGCGCTGTGTCGAAACGTACATTTTTTAGGCGACGCTGTCACATGTAGCAAAATGCTGCGCCGCTCTGACGGGTTCGTGTGCGGCAGATGCCCCCCAGATCGCGGTCACAAACGACGTGGTGCACACGGCCGCCGGTCACGAGGCCCAGCTGGAGTGCAGCATTCACGGACGACCAATGCCTGAGGTGAGATGTCCAGCTCGGACTGCCGCCCTGTGCTGTCTGCAGTAACGAACGGCCGCTGCCTGAGGGGCTGTGTCCGGCTCGGGCTGCCGCCCTGTGCTGCCTGCAGTGGCGGACAGCCGCTGCCCGAGTGGCTGTGTCCAGCTCGGGCTGCCGCCCGGTGCTGTCTGCAGTGACGGACAGTCGCTGCCCGAGGGGCTGTGTCCAGCTCGGGCTGCCGCCCGGTGCTGTCTGCAGTGACGGACGGCCGCTGCCTGAGGGGCTGTGTCCGGCTCGGACTGCCGCCCTGTGCTGTCTGCAGTGACGGACAGTCGCTGCCCGAGGGGCTGTGTCCGGCTCGGGCTGCCGCCCTGTGCTGTCTGCAGTGATGGACGGCCACTGCCCGAGGGGCTGTGTCCGGCTCGGGCTGCCGCCCTGTGCTGTCTGCAGTGGCGGACAGCCGCTGCCCGAGTGGCTGCGTCCAGCTCGGGCTGCCGCCAGGTGCTGTCTGCAGTGACGGACGGCCGCTGCCCGAGGGGCCGTGTCCAGCTCGGGCTGCTGCCCGACGCTGATTGCAGTCGTGTCTCCTGACGGACTCCCGCTCACGGCATGGAACAAGCTGAGCTCCCAGAGCACCACTTCATTCCAGCTCCAGCTCCACCGGTTCCAACTCCTGATTGCAGACAATACTGGCCCTCGGGTCTCGGTGCGACGGTCGCTCGCATGCTGGTTGATTTGGAACAGTGCCTAAGTGCGGGTCCACGTGGGACGGTGTTGCATCCTGTGGGCGATCTCTGACCCACGGGTCTCAGTGGGGCACTGGCTCACGAGCCGTTGCGAGCCAGTCGCTGTGCCGCGGTGATCGCCGGGCGTCGCTGACCCGCGGGTCTCAAAGGGTCTGTGCCCCACAGACCCGCTCCGTCGGCCACATGCCCGCCTCTTTAGAGGGCCGCCCCGTCAGTGTCTGGCACCCCGCACGGCAAACAGCGTTAATTGATGCAATGAGGGAGCGAACAGACCGGAGAACTGGCCTGGACAAATACGCTGGGTAAATGGAGCCAGCGCACACAGGGCCCGCAGCGTTGCCTGGGCGTGAGGGAGCATCTGCGATGGGCCAGCCGAGCTCATGGATGCACACAAAGAACATGCGGTGAGGGTAGCGGAGGGCGCTGAACGCTGGAGCTGAGTTGCGGTAGCGTTTTGGAAAAGGATAGATCGCGTTGACTTCATCGATATTAATAAAAAAGTGACAGAGCAGAGCCAGTTGGTGGCCACAACGTTGGAATGCTTAAAGAGTTCGACCATAAATTGCGCTACAAATTCTGGGGCATTTTTCACATCCTACCTTCGTTACTCATCGGTTATGCTGGGGAAAAGCCCCTTCCCTAATTACGCTGTGTTGAGCGGAGCGTCGCGAAGAGGTGACCTCCGCTTAGTCCCGAATTTGAGCTAAAAGTGCGGAACAAAATTAACCTTTTACGTGTAGTTTACGAAGTGGAAGCCAATAGTGTGAATTTTGAGGGCTTTATCTTTTTAAATAACTCAATATGACTTACAACCACACCTGGACATTACATCATGCTGTCGAAGGACCTCCCCCTCCTTGTTACACTTCGATTGCGTTCCGTCAAAGCCCCTCCCCTCCACGAGCAATGTAATTTGTGGACAGGCTCTCCCTTTTATTTCTGTTCTAGCACGTCCTCAGCCCCGAAACATACCACATCCCTCATCACGCCAGCTCTGCGCGACGTAGCACAGCTTCGGGCCAGAGCCATTAGCGTGCGCAGTGTTCCAGAGTATTCTAGCAAACTCTAGGGCCGCGTTTTTCCAGCACGTGAGGGCAAAAACTACCTAGTGCAGAGGTGCGGCCAGGGATTGTGAGACGGACTGACAGGCGACAGGTGACGTATCAGACTGCGTCGCCAGCAGACAGAACACAGCATTGGCGATACGAAACGTCTCTAGTCGGCGTCCAGTGGCGACTATCGCCCCCTCACCTCGTCCCTGTCTCCGCCTCTGCACCACGCGTGTAAGCAGCGCGGCGGCGGCACGTCTCGACCCTAATTGGCGGAACTGCGCGGGCGGCCCCTCGGCTGGTGCGACCGCAGCCACCGCCGCCGGAAATGACGTCACGCCCCGGTGGCGACGTGAACTAGTCCGGCAACGCACCGGAAGCACGGTCAGCTGTTTTTCGCTGTCATCTCCTCCTAGAGGCGCTCCAAATATCGCTGAAAGGGTTCAGGGGCAAGATGGCCATCTCGATATACGCGATGATCCTGATATGGATGATCATTTCGATAAAAATCCGAAAAGATAGTTGTAATAGCCATCAGTTGTAATGGCAACGGCGCCTCACCATTCCCTGACAATGATCATCGTCGTACTGAGTTCAAACTCAAATGCTTTGGGAAAGTATCGTGCATACCGTAAGCAGTACACCCTTAAATTACTTGTTCACAGCGGCGGAGTGGGCTTCGTCCTCGCTGCTGGCAGTCAGCGACATATCTGTGTATCTGTGGCGCCTCTGCTGTTGGTGTCGGGCGTCACGGGGAGCGTGACGCGGCGCGGCAGTGTGCACTGCACGCATCTGGCCTATCTGCCGTGTCTGACGCAGTGTGCACCGCACGCGTTTGACCTATGTGCCGTGTCTGACACAATGTGCACCGCACGCATCTGACCTATCTGCCGTGTCTGACGCAGTGTGCACCGCACGCGTTTGACCTATGTGCCGTGTCTGACACAATGTGCACCGCACGCGTTTGACCTATGTTCCGTGTCTGACACAGTGTGCACCGCACGCGTTTGACCTATGTGACGTGTCTGACACAGTGTGCACCGCACGCGTTTGACCTATCTGCCGTGTCCGACACAGTGTGCACCTCACGCGTTTGACCTATGTTCCGTGTCTGACACAGTGTGCACCGCACGCGTTTGACCTATGTGACGTGTCTGACACAGTGTGCACCGCACGCGTTTGACCTATCTGCCGTGTCTGACACAGTGTGCACCTCACGCGTTTGACCTATGTGCCGTGTATGACACAGTGTGCACGCACGCGTTTGACCTATCTGCCGTGTCTGACACAGTGTGCACCTCACGCGTTTGACCTATGTGCCGTGTCTGACACAGTGTGCACGCACGCGTTTGACCTATGTGCCGTGTCTGACACAGTGTGCACCGCACGCGTTTGACCCTATGTGCCGTGTCTGACACAGTGTGCACCGCACGCGTTTGACCTATGTGCCGTGTCTGGCACAGTGTGCACCTCACGCGTTTGACCTATGTGCCGTGTCTGACACAGTGTGCACCGCACGCGTTTGACCTATGTGCCGTGTCTGACACAGTGTGCACCTCACGCGTTTGACCTATGTGCCGTGTCTGACACAGTGTGCACCGCACGCGTTTGACCTATCTGCCGTGTCTGACTCCGTACCGCACGCAGCTGACCAACCTGCCGTGTCTTACACAGTGTGCACCGCACGCATCTGACCTATTTGCCGTGTCTGACACATGAGACAGCCCTTGCCCCGGCAACGGCACGAGCCGCCATTTCCTATCGATTGAGCATGGAGTTTGGTACTGATGAATGAGTTGAAATAATGATGGTGGTATGGCTTAAAAGTTACGTCAGTCTGGACCAACACAAACTAGCTCAACGAATCATTTTCAGCACGGCTCGACTGGTCAACCAATAACGATTGCACTGAAATAAGCTCGCCCACACGCTTCCTTGTAACCACTGAAATGCTCACCATCGAAGCGAGTGGCGATGCAATTTGGACGCTCTCTAAACCCCGCGAAACACACACGACCTGTCTCTGGGACCAGAGCGGTGGGCCACACCGCGGAACATGCACGACCTGTCCCTGGTACCAGAGCGGTGGGCCACACCGCGGAACATACACGACATGTCCCTGGTACCAGAGCGGTGGGCCACATCGCGGAACATACACGACCTGTCCCTGGTACCAGAGCGGTGGGCCACACGTTGCACCCCAACCTTCGCAGTTTCCTGTGTGTCCATGCCTGGAGGTCCCTCACCCTTTCCAGCAAAGCACAGCACAGCACAGCACGGCACAGCACAGCTGGTGTAGGCACAGCACCATGTGGCGTGCGACCGTCCATAGAAGACACTGGCAGCGATACTATGGTCTCTGGCGCTACGCTGCCGTTATAATTACTAAGGTGTTAGACTTAGAGCTTCTTTTAATCGTGTTCTTCACAGGGCTGTCAACAGGTCAGGGGCTAAAGCAAAATCATTTTGTCAAGAAGGTTGTAGAACACGTTTACCAAAGAGCAGCCCTCCCAGAAGCGCAGATGGGTGATTTATTTTGCGTTCCCCCATGCCATGACTGTATTTTAGACTGTTTTACAACTCCGATTGGACTTTTCCGATGCCTGCGCACAGCACAGCTGACAGGACAGTCAACACGTGGCCTTATTTGCATGTCCTCCATAATCGCCTACGTGACTGTACTGTTATGGGAGGGCAGGCATGTTTTGCTCGTTCGCTCGTTATTTTTCTCTAGCCGAACAGCTGTGCACTCCGCCCTTGCGGGGTCGAACTGCGGGTGCAGAGCTCGGCGCACGTTAGTGATAGGTGTCTATAGCAGCTTTTCAGTAAAGTAAAATGATCTCGGACCTTCAGCATCCCGCAAGATGCATCCATTGTTACCCACGCTGACAAGGATGATACATGCGTGGCTCATAGACTCATACGAGATGAGCGAGCCGCTCGAGTTAGCCATGCAGGCGGCACGAGCCACACAAGCGAGGTGGCTGGCCTTGTGACCGACCGGAGCTCGGCTCCGCGCAAGGGCGCTGGTTCAGCAGCTGGCCAGGCCATGGGTCTGCAGTCCGCATATCCAGCACGTCCAGCAGCTGGCTGCGAACTGTCTGCGGTTCGATGCAGACAGCCCACTATGGCATCCTGTCCACCGCACAGGAAGAGGAACGGATACTCATGTTTCAACTAGTGCCATCTTTTCCCACTTATTCTCTTGACATTTATGACCCTCCATTCCTGGATGTATCTATTGGTGGCTTAACTGGAGTGGCCAGTAGAAGTGCTTTTTGACATGTCAGCCCTAGCCTGGTGGTCCCCAGCCTACATCAGGTTTTCTCGGCCTACATCAGGTTTTCTCGGCGTACATCAGGTTTTCTCGGCATACGTCAGGCTTCCACGGCCCACATCAGGCTTCCTCGACCTTCATTGGGTTTCCTCGGCCAACATCAGGTCTCCTCGACCTTCATCAGGTTTGCCCAGCCCAGCTGAGCCCTGACACCATCGAGCTGGCGCTCAGCCCCCACCCCTCTGCCCCCAGGTGGAGTGGTACCGCGTGAAGCGGACGGCCCTGGACGAGGACCACTACCAGCGCTACCAGGAGGGCCACCTGTACGGCATTCGGATCGCCGAGGTCCGCGACAGTGACCTGGGTGTCTACAGCTGCCAGGCCGTCAACGAGCTGGGCAAGCTGGCTGCCACAGTGCTCCTGACAGGTGGGGATTCAGTGCGGCTCGGTTTACCTTGGAGCGTATGCGGGGACTTCGCTGCAATGTCCTAGAATTGCCGACTTTGGGCGTAAAGCAACATCTTATGAGAAGGAATTTTTCACTCCTTTTCCCCATATTGTATGTGAATTTTTCACTCCTGCCTGACATTGTCTAATCACACATGCCGAACCCATATTTTCCTTTCTGAGGTTTTCAGATGCCATCCAAAATCGAGCTCACTTGAAACCACCAAGCATAAACGAGGCTCCACAGAACCTGGACACCTATGGCTTTGTGCTGCCTCACCTACATCTGAATCATGTCTATGTATGCACAGAGCAAGGGCGCCAGGTACCTCCAAGCCCAAGAACCCCAGCGACCCCAGCCGCTTGCACGCGATAATTTTGGTTTGTTTACAAATTGCATCACAATCGGCAGATGTGTGCCAAATGCAAAGTTTTTACGCATCCCCTATTTTTTGGTCTCACCACCAAACGACGAAAGCGGAGCCTGGTGCAAACACCAGCAAGGCCTGGCAGATAATTTTACTCCACGCAATTTTTTCCCCGAGGAAACTTGACCACTAAATTGCATCACTCCCGAAATGCAGGAGTGAAAAATTTCAGAAATGTCTTCTAAGTTAAATTTACAAGGTGAATATTACCATTTGAGCACTTGTGTTAGCAGATTTTAAATCAAATCAGCTGATAACAAAATTTTGCCAGAAAGTATCAGTCTTTATATTTATTTAACTACTTTTGTTTTTCTTGGCATCATTCGAGTGGCATCATACGTTTTTATTCTTCTTTCCTTTTCGATTGTCTTTAGAGCTACCATCTGTGGCTTAAAATGTGGACCACTTTCTCTCCAAGCTGTTCCAATTGTAAACTTGTTTGCAGTTTTTGCAGCAAACTTGTTTGCATTTCATACATAAATTGGATTAATTCGCCAGCCACCCAAACATGTTTGATATGCACCCAAGAGGGAACAATTCACAGGGAATGAAGGAGACAATCTGAAGCACGGAACTTACTTTTACCGCTATTTTTGCTCTGTTAAACCCTCGGTTAACCGTTTTCTTGGTTCATGGCGGTGCTCAATAATGATAAATCTAAGCATTTCGAGCGTTTAACTCACCAGGCTACCTCACAAGGCTATCCTAATGCTGCCATACAGAGCTTTGGGACAGACCTGACGCAGCAACACAAAGTGTGTGATGGCGAAATTCTGCCCACGGGAGATGTCTTTCACGCACACCTCTTACTTGTTTCGCATTTTAATCTCGCTGGTTGGTGGGCATGATTTATATTTATATTTGGTGGGGGCTGCCCCCCCCCCCCCAGGGGGATGACTCCGTCTGCCAGCAGACCATGCAAAACGTACTGACTTTTTGTTGTGGGGAGCAGGAAAACGCCAGTAAGTCTTCTGCGGACCAAGTAATTGCTTACCTTACCTGCTTCCAACACATGATTGGTAACCAGAGTTAGCCATTTTCTGTTTTAATCCATTGAGTTTTGCGGTAGGACAAATTATGCTGCCACAAGGCATGCAATGGGTTTATTTTATTCCATATTCTTGATTATTTGTCCCAAATGTCTTGAAATGGTCCCTCGTGGCTGCTTTAACCAGATGTTTTCTATAGTTATCATGGTTTCCTGACTGACAAATTACTGTACTGTATACATGCACTATATTTTCAACCCAGGGATAGTCTAAGCTGCATAGCAATTATACTATGAAGGACATATTAGTATGTAAAAAGCAGTCAGACCGTCCTATTTAACGTGTGAGGCTAACATCTCAAACTCTGTCACTAAATATGAAGAAACAAGTCTAAATAGATGCATTTTCTGCAGCTGAAAAGGCAAGCAGCAACACTGGCATGGTCATCTAAAAGTTATGTTACTTTTGGAGAAGAGAGATTGTTTTGTGGAGCGTACCCATTATTGCCCCTGACATAGGTTACCATGGCAATCAAAATAAATTGTTCGAGGTGATTTGAAGTGTTTTGATTTGTGTGCTGTCAACTTCGTCTGATGTCAACAAGCATACACAAATGAACTAAATAAAAATGCACGTTGAAACCGGCCAAAAATTAGCTTTATCATGTTTTTATCACAAGTGCCGCTGTCAACAGATAGGTGAGTTGACATGATGTTCAACATATGGGCTACTCTAAGTTAGGTTAAGTTGGCTAAGTGCCTGGCAAATGGCAATAGGAATTGTGCAAGAATCAGTAACTCACAACTGCTGCTGTGATAAGAACAGGTTAGACAGGATGAGCTGAAGTAACGCCTCTTTAGGTTTGGCACAGTTAGGCTATTTTCATGGAAATAAGCATTGATTTTTTGTAAGAAACAGTGACAAAATGTTTGTTTTCCCTGACCCCATCTTATCAGAAGGCAGAGGTATGTGTTTTGTGTTTGACTTCGTGCAGTATCAAATTATTGGTGTTCATAATTTTTTGTGTTCATTACATTGCCATGAAGTCACCATGCTTTCATGTTTTCTGTTTCGCTTTAATGGCCTAATATGTTAAAAAACAAAACAGTTTTGTCAGGTTTCTGATGTTACGTCCATGCCAACTTGAAATAGATGTGTTTGTTTGCTGAAGCATCAGTCACGAGCTCATAAGTTCCACATTTTGTGAACCGATTTCTTCACTCCCGCACGGTCTTTTTGCGACGGCTTTTTCACTCCCACCCTAATTCAAAAGCGATTCTATCTCCCTGCTTCGCTGTGGCTGGCTTACGAGAGTGTATGCAGGGGCTTCGCTGTGGCTGGCTGCGTGCTCAGGGGAAGAAGAGTGCCACGGAGACGAGGTGTCTCTTGACATTTGTCGGAAATTAATTTGACGGCGTGGTTTGCCAAAGGGGACAGCACGGCCAAGTTTGTGGCAATGAACGGTTTCCGTAACTGTCATTATAAACTGTAAAGACACCATGATGCCGTGAACCGAATACGACAGTTTCTCAGAAGTGTAGATAACCAACGGCAGGAGCCTCGCCAATACGAAGTGAACACAAAAGTGAACGCAGGGCTCGCTGTAGGGAGTACCAGGGAGATGAAGCAAGAGCCTCATAATAACGCCGTTCCTCTTCCCTTTGATAGTCTCTAGACAGACCATCTGCCGTTCAGTTGTGATGATAAGGGTAACTATATTTATGTCCGGATAGAACACATGCGGTGCGCTACTTCGGTGCAATAATGTGTGGCAGGCAGGGTGGGTAATAAACTCTGTGTTCCAATAATGAGACAATTTATGACGTTCTTCTTTTAATGCTGTTTCAATTCGCCCATTAGAAATATTGGGACTCGGACCGGCCTCCTGGACTACACGCTTTCAGTAAAACGCGTTAAAGATGCGTGACATGGTGAGCGATAGATACCTATTTTTCATCTAGGTGACACTTTCATTAACATAAAATTGAGTGCTGACGCCCAGTTCGCCGTGCTAACCGCTGGCCTGGAAAGTCAACCTTTGAACATGGCTCACTGAAGCCTCTGTATTCCCACAGGCAAGCCGAAGCCCGCCATTATCAGGTCGGAGCCAAACGGCAACCAGAGGGAGACGTACGCCCTAAGGTGGAGCATGGAGAGCTTCGCGCCTCTGCTGGAGTACAAGATTCTCTACAAAAGAGTGCGTGTCATCCACATGACAGAAAAACTCATGACGCTGGGTAGTTGATATCAAGGCTTCTGAGAAATGTGATGGAGTGGTATCCATCATGTACTACGCTGCGTGTTGTCCTTCAAGTAAAGCGACACTTTTGTCGTCGTCAGTATAATGTATATATATATATATATATATATATATATATATATATATATATATATATATCAGTATATACTTCTTTCCTTTTACCTGATTTATCAAAATTGAATGGCAAGTCAAAATTGCGCCCAATGAGAATTCACTGCATGGGCGTTGTCTCGGGACAGGCGCTGCACGAAACTCCAAGTCCTTGAGTTTGCCAGCCAGCTAGCCACCATGATGAAGTCATGATCAGTACCGTCGCCTTTTCTGACACCTAGCCTTGTGACAGGTGTCGGACAAGGGCGAGTCTGCTTGGCAGGAGGTCGTGTCGGCATACCCCGACCGCTCTGACAACAGTACCATGGTCGTCCACAAGATGACCATGATGCTGCCAGAACTTCAGCCGGCCAGTGTGTATGAAGTCCTGGTGACGGCCCGCAACAAGTACGGCTGGAGCGAACAGCCCGACACCACCTTCCGCTTCTCTACGCTGGGAGCCAGTGAGTTACACGGGACCAAGGCGGTGATGGTGGTGATGGTGATGATGACGACGATGCGGGCAATCGCAGCCATTAGGATGCTAGTGATGCCATTGGTGATATTTCCTGAGAACAACAACGCGTTCGGCACTCAAGCGACATTTGATGGATGAAGGATTGGCGGCGGGGAGGACGAGGGTCCTGCGGTGTAAGGGGGACGAAGGCCTCGTGACCTCAGCAGGACGAGGATCTCATGACGTCAGTAAAAGGGGATCTCATGACACCAGTGTGACGAGGGCCTCGCGACGTCAGTGGATGAAGGTTTTGTGACGCAATTGGGACGAGGATCTCGTGACGTCAGTGGGATGGGGGTTTTGTGATGTCATTGGGACGAAGATCTCGTGATGTCAGTGGATGAAGGTTTTGTGACGTCATTGGGACGAGGATCTCGTGACGTCAGTGGGCTGGAGGTTTTGTGATGTCATTGGAACGAGGACCTCGTGCCGTCAATCACGCAGGAGGGTCAGCCAGAGGAAGCGAGTCTGTCCCTTAGCGTACCGCCTCATCGCGTATGTGAGAACAGCGGAGCATGCCGGTAGCTTAGATAGCTTAGAGGCGATTCCTAGGACTGCTGATACAGCGGTTTTTAACCGCTGTACCGCTGTACCGCCTTTTATGCATTTCTAGCACCCCAGGATGGCTAAGCCTCCGATATATTTAAGGCAACAAGATTACGTAGCCTCTGTAAAGTTCCGACAACGTCAAATAACGCTAGGTTTTGCTCAGTTACCGGGGGTCGTCATGTCCCGCGCAGTGTCGTTGGCTGCGATCGGCACGCGTTTCCCTCTCGGGATGACCTCGGGATGACCTCGGGATGACCTCCGTCGCGGCCGCTGTTTGGGTCAGCTGACCGCTGGCCAGCTGCTCCGCCCAGTGATCAGTGCCGGGTGACTTTTCAGATGCGAAGACCGCCAATCCAAAGGGTGGAGGTGAGGCGGGTGATGGATGGCCGAGCTTAGCGGTACTTGCCCGGCTTTTCGAACCCGTAGAGGCGTGTGCTTCGCTGCCGTTGTCCGCTGGCCTAGTGTTGGGGTCACGTCTGACGGAAGCTGCCTTGCAGTGTGTGCTTACTAACATGGCGCATTCGGCAGGGGCTGAAGGTCAACATGATCCGGCGCGAGGGTAGGGGCGTGGGGCGTGGTGTGGGGTGGGTATGTCGCAGTACTCACAATAACCCAACGGTGCTAGGGCTGTAACCTTAAGCAGTCGTAAGTGTTTCTAGGCTGACAACATGTGATGCGCGTGGTCGTCATCTTTGATGTCTGACGCACTTATAGCTATCGGTCGAGTCGGAACCGTTTGGGTCATACAACGTATTATTTGAGAAAGTATGACATTTTCTAGTCACATATTGGTTTTTGGAGCTGGGCAAACGGACCCAAGCGCTGCTCGTGAGCTACATTGCTGTCGCAACGGGTATGACTCTGTTGCGCTGGCATAGGAAGCTGGATTTGGCGCCAAATTGTGGTCGGAGGTCGCTCGATTGCCAGCCGCTGACAACGGTTTACCTCTAACTGCTTCTAACCGCATGACATCACCTTCCTTCGACTCACGCTCTGTAATCGGTGCTCAGTATGTGGTATCAAATGGCAATGAATTGAGTGCTGGTCATTTTTCCCAGGCTTACCATAACTCCAAGAGTCCTTTAACTCTGAGGTATGATTTCATTGGGACGTTAGTACCCTATGTTTCAAATAAAACACTTATTTTAAGGGTATGTAATTTAAAGCAATGAAGCAAACCAGATACTTTTCAAAGCTATGTGCTCCTTAAGCAAGTGTGTCTCACATCTCATGCGCATTAGTCCCTTGGTTCTCAATCAAATTTGCAATCCCACAGTTCTGAAAAAGAATTCGCCATTCCTCTCACAAGTGTGATGTCATCCACCCAATGTCTGTGTTGCAGAGGCGCTGGTCTCGCCAAAAGGCACCGGCGCCGCCGAGGCACCACGAGCAGGAGTGGCCTGTCTCCTGATGCTCCTGATGCCTCTGAGGGCACTCTGGTGAACTGCAGGCGCAGACTAGGTGCAGTATTTTTTTAATATGCTTATCTAGGCAACACTTGAATGCGGCCGCGTCCTGTATCGGTTCTAGAATGATCCTTGCAATAATATTTACCAATCTTTGGGAAAAAGCAAACAAAACGGTAAACTTTCAAGCAGTGTTTTGCGGGTGAGATTCCCGTAAGCGGATTTACTCCCATTAATTGTATGGATGGCTCCTTTCCCACGTGTGCAAAGGAAGAGTGTATGACTACACTAGCCACCACACTTCTGTCGTTCGCTAGTGCGTTATCACCGCCACCGAACAGGCACCGCACGTTTCCGATAATGGCCGGCGGTGGCCAGGGGCGGCTCCTCAGTTTATGGTCCGTCGCAGGTCTGTCCTCGCTGGCCCAGCCTGAGGACGGCTCTCGGTCACCCGGACAACTGCTGCGCCTCCCGGGGGGACCGCGCTGTCAGCCCGCAGGACTGCTAAGGGACGTGGGCGTGGCGTGGCGTGACGTGACGTGACGTGACGTGAAAGGACTGCCACACCGGCGCCTCCGCTGGACGAGTGTGTGGCTCGTGTGAGCCTGAGCCATGGCTCCCAGAGAACCGCGAAGCTGCAGGACGCCAGTGCCGCCCGTCAGCGGGGCAGGTGGCGCCACCATCTCACCCAGCACGCGAGGGACGCGGCCGTTGCTATGCCGACCGTGCGTGAAGTGTTCTGCGCAGCGCAGACGACGCCATCGTCTCACGCCCGGGAGCGGGGCTACGTCTGGCAGAAGGCGCCAGCGTTGCCAAATGACTGGAGTGGCCTCCGGCCTGTTGACCAGGAGCGAACTCCTGCCTGCTGACCAGGAACAAACTCCGGCCTGTTGACCAAGAGCGAGCACCGGCCTGCTGACCTGGAGCGAGCACCGGCCTGCTGATCTGGAGTGAACTCCGGCCGACTGGCCAGGAGTGAGCACCGGCCTGCTGACTTGGAGCGAGCACCGGCCTGCTGACCAAGAGCGAACTCCGGCTTACTGACCAGGAGCGAACACCGAACGCTCCGACTAGTCCAGAGCGTGGCTGAATATGTCTGTGCGCGTGCGCGCGTGCATGTGTGTGTGTGCATATGTGTGTGTGTGTGTGGCCGAACTGGGCGGCCACCAGCGTGGATTACCCATGGCTTCAGCGCCGACACAGCGGTGGTGCTCTCGCTCCCCGTGGCTGGTGGTGAGGTCCACCACGCGAACGCCGGGATTTTTGCTGCTTGCTTGAGTCGGAAAAGACGAACTGGTGGTGTCAGTGGACGTTTCACCAGCGGTGACGTGCAGGAAGAGATGGGTTGCGCCTGGCCGATCAGCTTGGTCTGTCCGTAACGGCTCGGTCGCTTTGCATGGTGCCTGACAAGTCACCGGGGACCCGGCCACGTGAAAGGGAGACCATTTTCGCGGTGCTGAACTACCTGCGAACTATGTCAAACATAACTGCCTGCGCTTTATGACGGTGCGTCCGATGACTGATTCTGCTGCTAGCTGTGGCTGGTGTTGTAACATTCATTGTAAACAGCGCATCAGTCACTGGCGATGGTGGCCCGTACTCGTGTTGTCGTTTAACAAGACCAGGCCAGTCCGCTGCAACTGCCTTGCCACACCTGTCATCATCCTAGCTGAAAGGCAAGCCACACCAGCACCATATCCGTCCTAAATAGCAGCTCCGTTACCACGTAGGCCCTTTGCTCTGTGGTATGAGCTAGCGACGGATACATGGGTTCCTCTGCACGCTGTATGTCTTGATGGCTTGGGCGGCTCGATCTGTATGCGCGCGCGTCAGTGTGCTTGTGCTTCGTGTTTCGTTCACCGCGGGCAGACGTCATTTAAACGGGGCCTGTTACGTTTTAGGGGTACGGTCAAGACACGCGACCAAAACACGCGTTTACGCCGCTTTGTTGCGTGTTTGAGCTGCTGCATATCCATCACATCGCGGTTCAGTGATTGGTTCGAAGTTAACTGAACGATGTTTCATGTTATTTAACTTCCTGTGCTTTATTCGAATACTTTACAGCAGCAATAGCAGCTCATCTTGTTCCCAGCTTCAAAATTGTGTGCGTACAGTTGTTTTTTTGTGCCTGTGTCGCGTACAGCAGCATCACAATTTTTACAACAATGATAAACATTGCAGCCTGGCGGATGCGTTTGACATAACCATCGCACGGAAGAGGAACAGACAACACCAACGGCTTTTATGTGAGACGGTATCAGTATCAATCAGTATCAGACGGTATCAATCGCTGGATGTCACGAGGCTTGATTTTGATTTGGTCTCGTCGATACCACGTCAGTGAGGTTTCCTGACTATTGGCAGTCGTCGGCGGCTGCTACAAACGCCAACGTAAATCCAGGACAGACCAGCTGCACTGAACGCATCGGTAGTTCAGGCCAAGGGGCGCCAGTTAAAACGAAGGAATTTCGAGGTATCTTATCATCAGAAAGCCTGCGTGGTGGAGAAACATAAACCTACCATAACCATACCATGGACACACCCTTGATTCAGCATCCACGTCCAGCATCACCCACGTACGACTGTACGCACGCGCACCACCGCAGCGCGCAGTTCAGGTCAGGACTGGTGCAATCTCAGGATCGCTAGAGCGACCCTCCTGTAGCGCGAGCCTGTGTCACCTCGTAGCTGGAAATCCTGACCTTCCTGCACTCGAACCGTGCCCAAGGTCCCGGGCTCCCGCGGGAGCGCTCTGTTCCGCTCAGTTCGGCAGGTAGTTGCACAAGGTGGCCATCTGCAACACTCAGTTCGGCAGGTAGTTGTAGAGCGTGGCCAGTCCCTGGAGCAGCAGGGGCGACGACACGGACATGGCGGAGAGGAGCAGGGGCGGCGCGCCGAGCAGCGCTAGCAGCGCCACGAACACCGGGATGCCCACCGTCGTAGCCAGCGTGATGCCTGGGATGCTGTTGCCGATGTAGTTCTTGACGTTGGCGCCGATGACGAGCGCTGTCTGGTCAGCAGCCGTCATCGTCTGGTGCAGCTGGTCGCTGGCCGAGACGCCCAGCGCGTCCACCGCTGCCGCGATCGTGTCCGAAAGTGACGTTACCGCGCCGGTGATCGTCGTTGTCGACGGTGCAGGGTTCGGCGTGGGCCGTGCTGGCGTCGGCGCCGGCGACGTCGGCGTCGGCGTCGACGTCGGGCCGGCCGGCTCCTCACCCGGCGTGAGAGGCTCCTCCGCGCCCCCGGGTTCCGGGCGGCGGATCACGCAGACGATGTCCGACGTAGGTTGGCTCGCGCCCTTCCAGCGCGCCTTGCGACTGCGCATGCGCTCCAGCAGCTGCGAGACGGTGGTGGTCTGGTTGTCGAGCAGGAGGAGGTCGTAGGCGGGGCGCGGGCGGGCGGGCTCGGGCGGCGGCACGGAGAGCTCGCCGCCCCACGAGTGGCCAGCGCCGCTGATGTTGTACTGACCTGAGGTCAGGTCAGCGCGCAGCACCAGTAACGATCCGTTGGCGCGCAGGTGCAGGCAGACAAGGTCGCCACCCACGCTGCCCAGGTGGTTGATGGTGACGGCCGGCGGCGGCGTCGGCGCCAGCGTCGGTGCTCCGCCCGGGAGCACAGTTGGCACCCTATTGGGGAAGCCGGCCGGCCCCACGCCCGGGTACACGGGCCGGTCGGGGGCCGACACGGGGGTGACCACACCCGGGCGGCCGGGGCGGCCGGCGCAGCAGGGACGCGGCGGGTCGGGCCCCACTGCCGGCCAGTCCGGCGCCGGCGGCGCGCCCGGCAGCGCCGGCAGCACGTACAGCGGGAACACCACCTTGCCACTGCCGCCGCTGCCGCCATCCGGCTTCCACCTGGCTCGGTCAGCCGGCGGAGCGCTGCCCTGTCTTTGGAAGAATTTGCTGGCGTTAGGCAGCAGGCCAACCTGGTAAAGATTGAGCAGCTCTAGCTGCGTAAGGCCGGTTTGGACGGGCGGCGGCCGGGTCGTAGCTGAGGTCGGCATTGACGTCTCGAGTTGGATCGCCGTTTGGGGTCTGCCGGAGACGAACACGTTCACATTAAAACTGGTGCTGCTGGCGGGATCTTCCGTCGTGCTTCGTTCGGGTTTGGTGACGTTAGCGATCTTTTGCACGGGAGAAATATCGTTTTTTAAAATTGCCAGCCGCGTGCCGACCTTCCTTCTGATCACATTTCCGTGCGATACGCCTGCGTTGTTGCCATTCACGGTGTCACGAGCTGACAGCGGTGAGCCCCAACCCACGGGTCCTGCGTGGACTACCGAGGCGGGCCGACGCACAGCGCCGCCATACTTTGTGTGGTCCAGGTGCGAATCGCGGAGCCCCACCGGTAGCACCGACGCTGGTGGCGCCACCGGGCGGCCATCCATGGAACTCTGAGTTTGCTGTCCCGTCACCACGCCGCCGGAGCCGGCCGTCGACGGCCTACGACGCTGAATGTAGGAAATCCTTGGTCGCGAGCGAGCCGCGCTTGCAGGGCGCGTCTTGACATCCTCTTCCCGGGCACGTCCGGTCACTTGGTCAGCGTACAAGGACGGATCTATGAGGCCGTAGCCAC